TGTATTGCTCTGGTTGATTTTCCAACCTTTTGAAAGAATGTAGAATCTCACTTGAACCACAGTAAGTGGTAAGCTACAGTATTCTTGCTATGTGTTTGAATGAAGCATTGTAAAAGCTGGAGAGAAGGACTTCGACGGCTTCCCATTCAATCATATACAAGCAGAATGGCATGCTTTCTTGTGCCAGGACAGAGCTGCCAAAAATCCTAAGATCTTGGACCTGGCACAAATCACATCTGACCTCTCATCCAAAAGCTCCAAGACAAACATTAAATAAGAAAAACTCTATTCTTTTTTATTCTAATGTATGTCAAGTCTATCACTACATTAATTATTAAACACCAGAGCTTAATTTCACAAACTGACAAAGAAGCACTTCTGTATTTTTTCCTCTGGTTAGATCAATCTTGACGAACCAGATGCCATCCAAATGTTGTGGACAACAGCTTCTAGGACAATTGGCCAAGATGGATATGAATACTGGGAGATACAGTCTTAGTGAGTGTCCCCAGACTGGGCAAGGCTAATATGGATAATTGTAATGTGACTAAATTTGCAAATGTTATTAGCCTAGGTAAAACAGGCTAGGTATTCACAGAGCAGGGACAGAGAACTCTGTTTGCATGCTGTGTACTGTATTGCTGATGAGAGGAAAGGGTTTCCCTTTTTAAGAATCCCATAAAATATTATGCTTAAGCACAGAAGAAGGATAGAATCCTTCTTCATCTCTCCTCTGCTACCCTGCTGCTCATGGACACAATTCCCTGGTCAATACTGCTACCAGGCTGTTACTTACACATAAGACTGTTGCAATGGTTCTTAAGACCTTTAGCAATACAGTTCTTATATCTGTCTATTCAAAAGTAAATTTCCTTGAATTTAATGGTGCTTACTTCCAGGAAGCTGAGTATAAAAATGCAGCTGTACTATTAAATATGGTAAATCTGTAACTCTAAATTTATCCTTCAGGATACTGCTTTTTTCTCAAATATCCTATTGTTCATACAAGTACTTTCTGGCATATCATATCCAATAGATACTACAATCTACCCCAGGAAAAAGAACAGCTGAATCTCTTTTGTGTATTCACACACAGAAAGACATATATATTCATACAAAATTATCAGAACTCAACTGTAATTCATGGGACTCAAATACATAGAAGGTAAATAGTTCGATTGATTTAGAAGGGGCCTTGGTAGCTAATTTTTAGGACAAACAGCTGTTCTCAGTGCACATTTATTCTTCTTCTGATTCTAACAGACAAGATCCTACAAGTTGCTGCCAAAGCACCTGAAGGGAATGTATTTTCTTTAACCCAACCCTGAAAAAATGACTGTAGATTCTTCTTTTCACTATAGCAAAAAGAGGCTGGTAATGTCACTATTTTGTTGCCTTAGTTATCACATTTGCCCAGGAGCTTTGGGCAAGAAATTTTTCAAGTAGTACTTTATGATGGCTAAAGTTTCTGTATTTGTTAAAAGGAGGCTCATACGTTTAAACCCTTCTTGCCATGGCAACCAACTGAGTAGATTGTGATGTAGTATTGCTTTATCATACACAGAAGGAAACCAGGGGTTAAGATTGGAAGAGTGCACGTTTCCTTTAATAAGGAAGACAATTATACAGCACAGGACAATCTTTCTCAACTAAATACTACAACTTTTGGGTTTCATCTCTTTTATGATAGCCATCACGATAAGTTGACATGCTAGGAATGTTGAGACGTAAAGCTCCAACACATCAGCAAGGCATCTGGTTTGGGGACATTGACTGGCCTTCTTTATATTATACAGTCTTTGATGAACAAAGTACTTGGAGATGAAAAAAAAAATCTAAGCATCAAAGAAGAACATACACATTTCACAATCTGGTTTTAATCATTTTTACTAGTAACAACCACAGTGATGATCAGTATAACTGGGAGGCAGAGATGAAACAGAGCTAGGACTTGTAAACAGTATAAAGATTATAAAGAGTTTAATCACACATTTATTTATTCATTGACAAATGGAACCTTGTTCCATGGAAGGTAAGTCACCATGGGAAGGCAAACCAGCACCTATTACAGGTTTTAAAACTCTCCCCATAAATTCTGATGCAGTTTCGTAACGATGCTCAGTTATTCTTTTTTTTTAAAGAGGTAGTCTTGCATCTTTTCTGTGCAGGAGACTTGTTAATTTAGAGCAACTAAAGTATCCTAGGTCTGCATTCATAATCCATGACCTGAACTGGAGAAACTTTTGTTTTATGGCCAAAAATCTATGAAAAGTTCAAAAGATAACTTTACAATAGAAGTATAACAGTAAACGGGCGAGGGCCATGTAATGTGGTTTTTCTGTTGCTTTCTCAGTTTGTGGAATAGTTTGTCCCCCAAAATAAAGATGGCACCCTCCTTGTTGACATTTAGAAGAGGACTGAAGATTACTAGTGTCTGCTGTGGTTTTGGATTTTATTTTATTGGGGGTTGATGCTAATGTATTAAATGGGCTGGGGCTTGTACTGTAATTGTTTTAGTTTCATTTGGGTTTAATTATGGCCAGAGTACTAAAAATATTTTTGAATCAGCAAATACCATCAATTAAAACATCCAAATATTAAAATAGGATATAATTACAGTTAACAAACCAACACAGAGCAATAACACCTTTTCAGGAAAAGGCACAAAGCGGTCCTTACCCTTTATTAAAGCTGGTAGCAATGGGATCTTATGCGCTTCAGATGGAAACTGATTCAACAGGTACAGAGAACTATAAAAGAGGTCCTATCTCAAGGAAATGAACTTATAGCAGACCCTCAAAACCACTTAGCAAATCTCAAGGAAGGACACATGAGATGCCATTCCTGATCTTAAAGTAAAGACACTTGATAGAAGGGAAGGCTGTCCTTCAAGTAATTTATGACTTTAAAAGGCAAAACATTATGTGGAGTTTTAATAACATGTATGATGTTGGATGTGCCTTAAACATATATAAAATATATGTTTACATGAGTAAAACACAGGCAGCTGGAATAGCGAATCTGGAAGAGAGAAAGATAACAAAAATCAGACTGCTGTCTTTTCCTTGGTGTGAAAGGAGGTAGTATATGGGCAGAATAAATGCCATTGTTTATGGAACATGGTGTTAGCATCCATGACAGGAAGAGAGTCCCTTTAGTTTAGAGGAATGTAAAGGTACCACAGTAAGGTAATCTCCTAAGTATTATCATAGACATTCCAGTTATATAGGTATGTAATAATTATAATTATTGTATATATAATTATTATAATTTGATATTTTATCATTGCTATGTAACAAACCAAAGATATATAACGGGTAAATTTGCTTTGTTTGGGGCTATCTGTGTTCCTTTTAGCAAGGAGCCCAGAGATCACTGTTGTTGTGCATGTCAGTAAAGAATATTTTGTTTCAACTATCTCCAATCACTTTGGTTTCTAATTTAAGTGAGCATTTTCCTCACAATAGCTTGGCATAGTCAGTAGGATTGGAAGGAGAAGAACTAGGGCAGTCTGCTGCATTCAGCGTGCCCCTGCCACATTCCCATGGGCATGGTTTCTGCCCGTGCCCTTTCTCTTCTCCAATCCAGAACCTGTTTGGAGATACACAAGGGACTAAATTGTGTGTCAGGGTCTCTGCAGGAGTGAGTCTGGGTGAGTTGCAACTCTGGACAGTGAGTCTCTGAGTCTTGCCAACTGACTCTGTAGGAGTGAGTAGCTGGGCATTTTTCCCACAACAATTACATATGGGAGAATAAGTTGAAACTCTGTAACATTCCTCAGACAATAGGCATGAAGTAAAATTAATCAGGGATATCATAATTCAGTGCCTTCTAAAGGTAAACCAGGTAAGTGGTAAGAGGGATAATCTGAAGGATGGTACCAAAAGCCATTGAAAGGTCTACAAGCATTAGCAGAGATGCACTTCTCTCATCCATTCCTGGTATAAATCATATACCAGAGCAACCAAGGCTATTTCAACCCCAGACCAGGTTTGAAATCTCTTTGGAATTATTCTGAATAATGTATGTCTCCCAACATTGCCTGGATTGCAGGATCTATGTTGCTTTTAATTATTGTTATCATCTGAAAATTAACCAGCTAGAACCAAAGAGAAGAACCAATTTACCTATGAGCTCAATGAATTGGGATGACTTCTATCTACAAATACAAATCTATCTCTGAATATTGACAGAACAGAGATTGAAATACTTTGAGGCACACCTAAAAATGGATTTTCTGAAAACAACTGGGAGTTGAAGACCCTTATTAACACACTGCAAATATGCCAGTATAGATTTCATTGACTTTTGCTTACTCCTATCTCCTTTGCTCTCTGTACTAATAAGTCAGAAGGATTGGTCCCTGGAATGAAACACCTAATTTGAGAGGTCTTTAACCCACAGAAACACCAACCTATTACCTATGCTTCAACAATGAGATTATGGGTAGAATAAAGTGATTAAGACAGGAGGAGCTAAATTAGATGAAATAACTTTCAGTATGTAGGGTTAACTTCATTTTTTTCTGGTCCATTAGACACAGAAAATTCAACTGGTGCAGCTTTTTGTCACAAACATCTAATGAGAAAGCTCTACCTAACTCACCATATAACTATTAAAAATTAAAGGTAGTGGTAACCCAATCGCATTACACAGAGCTTCCTGTTTTGATCTATACATGAATGATCACACTGGATCAATGCCACTGGTATTAGGGGAAGAAAAGGAGGAGTCTACTCTTCTATATATTACCTTGTTTTGATGAAGACAGCTGTTAAAATAGACTAACTACAACCCTCACATAAGCATTTTTATGCATGCCAGTCCAGAAAAAAGTCTGAGATTCGTGGACCTCAGCCCCAAGTGTACAGGACTGCAACTGTAATAGTTGCTACTACAAGAAGAGTAACTAATCCAATTTCAAAGTTTTAGGAGAGTTGCTGCTTTCCTTCCCAAGTCTCTCTCCCTCACCCCGCACCCCCGGCGGTCATTTCTCTCACCTGGATGGTTTGTCCGGCGGGGGAAGCAGCGGGTCCCCCCACGAGCTTGCAGAAGAGCTCTAGGCGGGGCCTCCCGCTCTCGTCCTGCCCGCAGGTGGAAGTGGCCCAAATGCGGGTTGTCTCCGCCAGGTTGAAGTAAGGCGGGTGAAGACTAAGCCCCCGCTTCCCAGCGCCCAGGGAAGAAGCCAAGTGAGAGCCCGCGGGGTGGAAGCAGGACCAGAGCGCCAAGAAGATCCCTGCCAATGCTGCGCCTGAGGGCGTTCGGGCAGTCAGGAGAATTGCCGCCACCCGCTTCCTCGCCATCTTCGCGCCCCTTCACTGGATTTGTTTACGTCGCCCGCGGGATTAGTGATCCGAGAGGGACGGCCTGCCTCCGCCCCTCCTGTGCCCCTTTGTGTTCTGATTAGCTCGGAGGGCACCGAAAGGAAAGCAAAGGGGAGGCGACGGCGGCGGCAGAGACACCTCCTGCTGCTCTGCCGCCAGTTTCGCGGGATCCCGAGGGAAGATACTGCCGAACGCGCCGGTGAATACTCTTGGAGGACGTGGATCCTGAGGAGGCGAGGGCGATGCGGTTATCTCCGGGAGGATCACGGCCGAGAAAACACCTGCAGCTGTAATAACGCCCCGGTGCTGGCTTCGTTAGCAGAGAGCGCTAGTCCGTCGTAAGTGAGGCGAGGACTGAGGAAACGCGTCACCCATTGCTGGCTCCAGATCAGATCGGAGGAAGGCTTCGTCCAGGGCTGCGATCCTATACGCGTTTTTCTCAGCTCAGCTGAACTTAGCGGGATCTGCTTCTCATTAAACGTCCATCGGATCAGGTTATAAGCTGCTTGAAACCCAGTGGGTTTAGAGCCTGAGGCTGGCATTCAAAAACACATTTCAAAGACAGAAAATGTCTTAAGACAACCAGCGCTTTCCCCAACTTGATGCCTTGCAGATACATTGAGATTGGGAACACTCTATCCAAGATTCACAGCTAGCAGACTTCAAACAATTCACAATTACCCCTTTCCCATTTCATTACCTCACTTAATAACCCATTTCTGAGAAAGCTTCCTCTTGGATTTCAACTCAGTTCCAACTTACATTTCTTCTAGAGAAAACACTGAATTCTACAAGTCACCAAACTTTTTCTGGAGAGTGGCATAATCTTTCATCCACTGTGTGGAAACTGAGATACTTTCTCTGTAGCAGCTAGTTCAGCATTCAAGGTTACAGCACCGTAAATGAAGTGGCAATGGTTTCTTATAACTTATTGCCAACATTTCTGGAAGGTTTTGATAAGGGCAAATAACAGCAACATAATAAAAGAGGGCCCAGATAGCAATAAAATGTGCAGATTACAAATTTAAATAAAATTACAATAGTTCCCCAATTTCATCTTATCACAGTGCACACATTTCTTGGCAATTTTTTTGTTCCATTTATGGACCCATGACATTGCTTTAATTTCATCTGGAGTCCATGAGTGAGAGGAGCTTGTTAGCTGTTCTGGTTTCAGAGTACAGTAGTGCTTTCCCCCTTAAACTAGCAGCCAAATGTGGAAAATCTGATGCCCCTCACCAGATAGTCTGTCAGCAGCACAATCAGGTGATCCATAGGAGGTAGAAACAATTCTAGCAATTATGGGCTACTTCAGGCAGATCCAGGCATGCCTCCTCCCCTCTGGTCCCAGGGACTTTGCTTTGACACCACTGGGTGGAAATAGTTGGTATTTGGCAGTTCCCTGCAGCCACCAAATGCCTGCTGGACCAACCTTTCCACTCTACCACATATAATGGTGCTTTAAAATTTGTGAACCCTTTTGAATTTTCAATATTTCTGCATAAATATC